GTGTGTGTGTGTGTGCGTTTCATCTTCCCCTTGTGTATGTTTACGTGCTCTGCTTCACCTGCATGGCGGTATCGGTGGGGTATGCTCACTTCGCTTTCCTCCTCCTTCTTCTTCTGTGCCCCTCTCTCTCCCTCCCCCTCCTCTTTCTTTCTTTCACACCGACGCTGCAGCGGAAGCAATAGCTCCCATTAAGAGAATTACCCCCACAACAGTCAAACTAAGGAGGAAAGTAAACGAAAAAAAAAAGCGCACACACACACACACACAAAGAGAGAGCGAGACTATCAAGATGCCTGCTAAGAAAAAGGGAGGGCGCGGAAAGACGCTCAACATTGTGGACTTTAATGATGATTATATCCCAGAGGACAACTTAGACTGGGCAGTGGAGGTCCCGCAGGAGAAGACGCAGGAGCAGGTGGTGGCGGAGAAGATCGCTAAGAGGGATTTCAGCCGCGTGGCCAACAACGTACTAGCTGAGAATGGCGGCTTCCGCGATGCCCCGAGCACCCAGGTGGCACGTTCAAAGGGCACCGACGTTCTGCAGCCGCCATACGTTGCGCATTTTGGCAATCTGCGCAATGGAACAACTGAGGAGGAATTCCTTCGCAATTTCCACGAGGATTGCGTCGTCACATCGCGGCTCATTAGCCAAGATGGGAAAAGCTTTGCGTTTGTAGAATTCAAAACGGCCCAGGCCCTTGCCATCGCCCTCACGATGGATCAGACTATGGTTAAGGGGCGCAAGCTATACGTAGACTTAGCCACGGCAAAACAGATTGAGCGGCTGCACGGGCATAGCGGGCTCTCTCGGCAAAACGCGGGCCAGCAGCAGCAGCAGCAGCAGAGCGGTGGGATGCAGCACCTTAACCTCACCCGCGACGCCTTCGGTTCCACGCAGGGCGGCGAACGCGAGATTGGAGGAGGTCGCTCGGGCTTCGGCTCGAGGAACGACCTGCACTTGCTAGCGGAGCTATCGCGCGACACGTTAGGCACCGCCACTCGCGGCTCCGATGGCTCACCAAGTCCGACCGGGCCGCCGGAGTTCCCTAACTGGCGCAGTGAAGGGCCAGTGGTCCAGCCCGAGTTCCAGCCGGACCTGCGTGAGAACCGGCGCAGCGACAACGACCTTGAGCGCCGTGGTGGCGCAGGCACGCGCAACAGTAAACGACAGAGCCCGCTCTCCGCGGGTGGCCTCGCGAACTGGCGCGATGAGCCGGTAACGCAGCCGCCGCCGCCGCCTCCCCCACAGTCATCCAACACGGGACAGGAGGACGGAGGCGAAGGCAGCGGCCACAAAGGCGGTTGGCAGCGTGAAGGCGCAGTTCGAGGCAACCGTGGGCCACAGCGGCCGCCGGCTGCACCACGCGACGACAGCAAGTGGGAGGCGTTGCGCCGCTAAGCAGGCCACCACGCCCACCCGGCACAGCACAGCAGCGAGAGAAGAGAGGGAAATAGGGCGAGTGGAAGCGAAAGCGGCCGCCGGCAGTGGGAAGCGAAGGGGCATGAAAGGGAGAGACCCCCACGCCCCCTCTAAAGCAAAAAAAAAAAATTAGGACCAAGAGAAGGCTGCCTGGATGCGGTGAGAAAAGCGACGTCACACACATAGGCAAACTCACACGCGCCCTCGCGCGACCGAGCTCTTGCTTTGCGGCGTTCTTCTCATCACTCTCCTTCTTTGTTTTCTTCCTTCTTGATTCTTCAGTGCTGCGCGCAGCCAATTTTCTTGATGTTGCGGTCTCATTTCATACTCTGGCTTTGGCGTTTTTGCCCTTCCGGTTGCGAGCGGGAGGGGGGAGGAGGAGGCAAGGGGGACCATCGGCGCGGCGGAATGCCGAAGAAGGAAACCAAGAAGGCAAGAGGGAACATGGGAAATTGCGGTCTGTTGAGAAAAGCGGGACTAACGCAGCGCTGTGAATAAGGCCAAACGAAATGAGCAAAAGCACGGAGGGAAATAATAAACAAAAATGAGCACGAATGCATGCCGAAATGAAGACCTTTAACCAAAAAAAAAGCCCGTTTATATATATATTTATTTTAAAATGGGAAAAAAAAAAGAGCCAGTGCCCACGAAGTGGAAGAAGGGTGGGGTTGGGCGGGGCGGCGCGCAAGAAAAAACGAACGGCGGACCAACGCGGAGACACGGAAGCAAACTAAACAAACGAAACAGGCGGCGCAGGGGCTGGAAACGGAATGAGGTGGCGGGGGGCACCAGGCCACAGGGGCGAGAAATTAACGAGCCGAAATCGCCGCGCGTCTCGGG